AATATGATCGAAAACGGAACGAATTTTAATATATGATTTCAGATTGATATTATGGCTTGAATTGGTAAATCAAAGTAATCCTTTAATTGTTTCCCTATAAACAGAAAATTTTCTGATCGAACAGTCGTGCAGTTTTCTTAATCCAAGCTTGCAGCCACTGAAGCTTTTCTTTGAAAGCCATCCCAGCAATCCATGTTTGATTTTTTCCCCACTTCCCCACGAGGGATGGATGTTTGTGTTGCAACAGCTTCTAGACTCCAGATACCCGACCGGCAACCACCGCGCATGACCGGCTAGCTTAGGTCATTATCGAAGCTTGGCTGTCGAGGTTGAGGAAGAGGGAAATTTAACATACTTCCCCTAGCTCGAACGGTTCGTCGGCTGTCTTTTCAAGTGAAACGCTTTACACTTTACACCCGGAAGCGAACAGATCAGAAAAAACTCAAGTTGACTGGAACTACTCTGCCCAGTGCTTAAAGATATATGACAAGATCTGTCAACTAGGGAGGTGCAAAGTTGCTCTTCCCAATCATCCAGACAGCATAGAACCTCTGGTGGCACCTGCCCATGAAGTTCTGAAAAGGGACGCCGCACGAGATTCAGGACGAGTTTCTGCGTGCCTCCAACACATCGGAACACTGAGACAAAGGCTCTTGAAGGTGAGAGTTCACTAGAAGACCCTGCTCCGCGCTTCCAAGTAGTGCAGGATAAAGGAAGCCAGAAATGGTTTGACCACACACTTCGCAAGATTCGCCGTTGCGTCCTCGCTGTTTTATGTATCTCTTCCTGATTCTGTCCCGACTGTTCGGGCCAAAGTGCCACTTCCACGCCCGATTTGCTCCCACTTCCTGCCTTGGCCTTTAGTTGTCGTTCGATGTCACAGGGGCGGCTCCTCAGAAAGCTGTTGGTGAACGCGATGTAGGGACCAAGAGGCGCCTTGCACACAGCGGAGTCTGCTGGGAGGCTTTTCGGATATCGAACTTGTCAGCCGAGGCACTGCGTTTGTGGCACCGCGAGAAAAGATGAGTATGCGGTCATCTTGGATGGTGTCATCCTTTCGAAGAGGTGGAACCACCGTATCATTTCAATGCAATGGTGGCCACGGAATCATATGCAATGCGACTCCGTTCTTCCACGCGGCATGAAGAAGCAGATTCCCAAACAATCTGCATAAAAGCTTCCGGCCACACAGCATGTCGAGGCTTTCCTGTGGGAAGGGACCTGAGTTGTCTTGACAATCCGCAGCTTACACTGGATGGTGTTATGCTCTTCATGCATGCTCTTCAGTCAGCATGTCGATGCTGGAACGCAGCATACCTTCTTAGCAGCTGCTCCGTGTCTTGTGCGGATTCACGGTCTTTCCGTGACAAGGCTACAAAACAAAAGATTTCTTCAAATTCAATATCCAAAAATTTTGACCGCCCTGCTATCCAAATCTGTGTCGGCAGCAGTTTCCCCTCATTTCATGGCTGAGGCGCACTTAGATTGGCCAGGCTGCCTGCCATATCCAGCGCAGAGCCTGGGTTGCGTGTTCCACACAGTTGGTAAACAAATAACATACAAAGCACACGCGTGCTACTCGCTGATCAAGATTAAGCCTCAACAAAGCAAGTGTGAAACGAAGCTAAACCCCTTGCACCAATCGTGTGCATGAGTTGCGATGCAAGCAGCTCTGCCAAGCTATATCCGGTGGCGGGCATGGCACAATCGAAAGACTGTTCTCTCTTGAAACAACATAGGACATAAGGATCTACTTGCATTTGCAACTCACGTGCTGACAAGTTTTCTGAGCTCATGAACTGATTCAACTGCCGCTAACTCGGGTGGCACTACGGTCACAAACTTCTGCCAGCTGCAGGAAAGGTCTTACTTCTGCGGGCAACCTATCAAAATATGTACTGTTGACAAGAAAAAGATCAAACCATGAGGAAAAACGTTCCAGCCATTCAGTAAAGCACTGGGCTCTCCCGCTTCGTGACGGTGCACCGTACTGCGACAAGAAGCTGTCCAGACTGCTATGTTGTTTCATCTCGACACTTGGTCTGAACCCCTGTGTTTGGATCGGTGAATCGCCTGTGCCGCTTGAACTGGCATCGCACTGTGATGCCGACCTGATCGGTGATCGTACCGATTGGAATGGCGCAACCGTTGTTTATGTGCTTGCTGGGGTTTCGTGCCGAGGGCCTTCGAATCCGAGAGGGGACTGTTGTGAGGTGGAGGTTTTAATTTGGTATGATTATTTCTCGAAATTTCTCATAAGATACATGAAATCAAAAGATATTCATATATATATATATATGTATATACTATGAGAGACTAGCGAACTCATATCAACTCCTATCATCGTTACTATACGAAACTACTTGCCTTTCCGGGGAGCTCGTGCGAAAACTAACGAAGCGAATTCACCTGACGCAGGCCCGGATCGTAACGACTCAAGAAATGAGGTGCTCCAGATGACCTGCATTCGCTTGACTTGTCCTGAGACATGTTGAAATTCAATCGATTTTGATCTAACCGCAGTGAGTGCAGAGGTCACATCGCACTCGCAAGCTCGAGAGATGCATCTTCGCACCTTTACGCACAAGACGTCAAACTACAACGGCATCTTGCATGGCTCTCTTCTGGCTCATGCACAGGCTCATGCTGCAAGTATAAACTTGAGCAGAGACCGTGCTGAGATGTGCCAAGATCGGAGAAGACCTGCACCCGGTGGCATACCAGGCTGTGCTTAGCGGGCCCTCTGTGGCGAAAGGATCTCAGAATTCGTCTCAGGCCTGGCAGCAACAGAGAAGGGTCCAATCGGTATGACGGTGTGACTGTTGATGTGAGACTCGCAGATGTGCTTCGGGCTATCCGGCCACGCGCCCAAGGGCTACCTGAGACTGAAATTTTGGCACCTGATTGTAACCTGGCCGTTGCTTTCGCCCTGACTGTTTGTAAACATGCTGGGATATGCTGGAGAAAATGTTCGTACAGTATGCAGCAGGTGTCTTGTGGAGCAGTCCAGCCTGGCTCTTCAGGTTCTTGTTTTCTATTTGCCACGCCTGTCGCTGGCACGCAGTCTTGCATGCACGACCGCGTACTGCCAAGAGCACTAGAAGCCGACGCAACCATCCAAACGTGTGAGAACTCTGCGCTTTGCTTTGCAACGCTGGCCTTCTTAAATACGTCCTCGTCGTAGGCAAACGTGACGACCTGAGAGACTTCTGGCGACCGATTAAGACCCTGTCATGACCGGGAATCGCTGCGACAAGAACGCGTGAGCATGTTTGCTAATGTGGAAAACTAAAATTCGTCCTGGGTGGATCACTTTGAACACTAGTCAAACAAAAGTCGTCTTGGTGCTGGTAAGGCCGGTTCGAAGGGTCCAGCAAGATTTCGGGCGCCGAAATTCTGAGCCAAGTCTCAAGCAAAAAAACTGCATAATGCAATCAGCTAGGCAACGACCAAGTCTAGAACAAGATTCCGGAAGTCGTCGGAGCTTATTTACAAAGCCTCGAGCGATAAGCGTGCATCGCACAAGTTTTGTGGAGGCCAGGACCGGAAGGACCTGGGCTGTTAAACTTTTGGAATCAAGAGCCGCCCCACAGCCATGACACATCGATATGTGGTGCCACGGGATGAGGTGCGAACGCATGTCCTCAAGACGTTCCTCTAGTTTCTGCTAGGAGCTTGGAGTGTTCGGGCTTTCTCCGCGCTCCTCGCGGCAAGGCGAACAAGTCGCCTCGAGCAACTCGCAAACAAGCGCAGCGGGCCGCCGGCGCTGTTCCGGAACTTCTGGTGGCATGTTTTGGGGACCTCTGCTGAAAGATTTTCGAGGTTGCAGGGTTATCACCAGAAGACAGCAACGCCTGATTAACACCGAGTTCCAATTCTGGGGAAGGGCCATGGGTTCCACTGACACGATTCTCGCACCAGCCACCTTGCATACTTGCTTGCTATCAAATCAGTGGTGCGGGCGATGGTTGTTGTCATGAGCCAGCATCTCTTCCATCCACCGACAGCTTCGTTAGGGCCGCAGTTGTGGGTGCTTTGGCCAACTGTCCTGTACAGCACCATGGCATCTAGGACTTTTCTATGTGTTTCATGTACCCTTAACGCTCAGTTAGAAGAAATGCTGGCAACGCTAGCGTTTTCTTGACTAAAAACTAAGAGCAATGAAATTAGGATTTCTCTTCTGGATGCATAAATTCCACAAAACGCTGGTTTCTGCATTGATGGACAAAATGCTGCAGCAGCCTGAGTAAACCAACAACGAGATTACCGCACACACCCCGATTAACATGGCTGTGCAGTCCTGGGAAGGGCGGTGGCTTCCACTGACAAAATCCTTGCACCGCATGGCATACTTGCAAAAACAATTTAAACAGGGGGCGCGGGTGCGGGCGATGGGTGATAACAGGAGTCAGCATCTGGGCGGGGCAAGATTGCCTCCATCCACGGTTCTTCTCCTAGCAATCACTTGTTCGACGGCGCATAACCGTGGGTGGCCTGATGCCGCAGGGCATAAGCTTGTACATCAGTGTAGCTTTCAGCAGATTCCAGATTGAAAAGTCGCAGGAGCAACGCACGAAGGACGTCGTACGTAGTGTCATCTCAACAAGCCGCAAACTCACAAGATCTGCAGTTATCTCGAAACATGCTATACGTGACCTCGCAATCAATTCGCCTTCAGCAACCCGCCGGACTCCCGGAATAGTTCGGCCATCCGAGGATCGGGCAAGACCGTCAGCTCCTGTTGTTCTATCACCAGGGCGAGGGATTGCTGTCTTAAGCTGTTGGGCTCGGTTGAGCCTAGCCCGCGCACCCACTTGTGTAAATCAAGGATGGTGATGCCTAGAACAGCTTCTAAGTTGTGCTCTGGAGCTGCCCGGCCTCTTGCAGCCCTCATGCCCTGAATCGTGATTCTGGCAACGTCCACTTTGCTAACACCTCGGCGGGATGCATGAGTCTCGGTGCTTGCTGTCAGGTGAACCTACATGTTCAAACGAAAAGATGTCCACCTCACGACAAGGCGCCGTGCTTGGAACTGGCACGCAAGCACTGATACGCAAGACATGCCAGTGTCATGTTCTGGGGTTTCAGATTTCGCCGTATGTGTCGGCCATTGGCCCCGACCGCCCCACGTAAACGATCCTTCAAGCGTCGAGATTTGCTCTGCCTTCAGCACGCGAGACACAACCACCCGAATTTTGATGCAGCGGTCGGCAGTCGAAGCGAAATGTGCAGCACAAGCTTCTGAGCTGTCTTCAACTATGCACCCTTGTCCTCTGGAGCGATAACTCGGACTGGATGAGGCCCCAACTTTCGTGCCGATACACGCCGCCGCTGACCAAGCCTGTCTGGCGGTAGATTTCAGGTGCGAGAAACAACGGGTAAGCGGTGGCTTGCCCGATGTGAGCAACTGGGGTGCTGGCACCATCGCACCTGTGGAATGCAGCCGCACGAAACGAGGCAAAGGCTCAAAAAGAAAATGTCCCAAAGCAGTACTCTGGAGGCGACCACACACAGAATGACATGAGGTCCGATAATGTGCAGCTACACCGCCTCCTCAATGGGTGGCCCCGGCACCGGGCCACATGAGGTCTCGCGGATGTCGTTGTACTCGGCCACCGCTTCGATCTCGGGACGGGAGCTCATGCATACGCTGTGTCCCAGAGCAGTCGATTGCATTGGTGAAGTGCCTTGAAAACCTTCAACTGATTGTCAAGTACAAAGCCTACGTGGCAGGTTTCGAAATGGGCTGGACTGCAGCATCAGTTTTGCAAGCGAAGGGTTCAACTGCTGTCGGTCCAAGCTTTGTTATCAAGTGACGGCAAGCTTTCCCTGAGGAAGTTGATTCCACCTCGCAAGTCAAACTCTCTTCACCAGTAACGATCCTAGAGGAACTCTGCACGAAATAGTTGAAGTTTGGCGACGTGTGCAACCATCGGGCACCGGGCCGATTTGGTGGCCAATACCTCCAGTGACCTCATTGCATCAGAGAGCACGATGTCAAGCTCATGAGGTATCTCAACACAGCTTGCGTATTCTGGCGGCCAACCGATCCCCTTTTTGGTGCTGTTTCCCAATGTCAGTAGGACCCAACGCAGGAGGGTTGCAGAAAGCTTCGCTTCTAACTTCGCAACCTGTGGTTTGGCTTTCCCTGGCTGGGCCAAGTGCTCCAGGAAGCGATCCTCGTCGTAAAGTGGACCAGTGCCAGGGCCAAGCGGGCCCGTGGCCCCCTCGTCACTCCAGACTTTCAGGTCTCTGTGCACCATACCCGTGCGCTATGGCTACCTACTACCGAGTCTCCAGAACGTAAACTAAAAAGCTGCTTCTACATGATATGAACGCTGCCCCCACCGGTTAAAGAACCTTGGAGGCTCGTGACTGGACTCAGTATTTCCACCCGTAACAGCTATCTGGTAAAAGGGGCCTACACGGTCACATCAGTATGCGTCCACAATCAGTTCATCGCTTCTCTATCAAGTGCCTGTGGAGGAGTCTCAAATTCGAGAGATGTGCTGCTGTGCTAGCTACCCTGCCTCGCCCTTGGGTCCGACCACATACAGCATCGCCACATTCTTCGGGTGCCTGGAAGTCCCGTCTACACTACGAGCGATTCGAACACATATGCGCGACGATCCGATCTAGCTTGCCGAAAGGCCACCATGCCCTTTCTCTAGGACTCTAGCACATGGCCTCATGATCCTCAAGTTACCTTCTTTTGAAGGGGGCAGGCTTGACTAAACTTGCCGATTCAATCTCTGAGTGGCCAAAAATCCAAGGCTGCTAGTTTCGCAGCCCCCTCAGCTCTTCACATTGGACGCTGTTCCAGCTGGAAAACATCGATGAACACGGAGCCTGCCGGAGCTCTGAACAAGCCACTGCATAGCAACCACCATCTGTCTCTTTCTTTTCGCCAGGCTTCACGGCCCAAGCCCCCGCAACAAAGAGTTGATGTAATGAGGGCTCCAAACTCGGCAAGCCAGGCTCAGGTTTAGGAAGGCGGAGGTTGCAGGCAGGGTTGGTTGTTTTTGTGGTGTTGGTTGATGGTTGGCAGAGTTTGCCCAGCACCAACCTGAACCAACCTGGAATTTGGAGTCCCCTGCCACACGAGTAGAAACTGCGAAGTTGCCTAGTTGTCGCCCCGAGTTTGCAGCTTGACAGCCGACAGCACTAGAACCGGACTTTGCCAAGTGGCCGCCTTCACGTGTCATGCTGCTGTTGCCGTTCTGTGCTGGGCTACGAAGTAATTCGCCTCGGCCCCGGCCGAAGCGGTCATTCGGATTCTCCTATTCCCACCCAATTTCCTCCCCTGCCCCCCTCCCCCCCCCCCCCCTCCCCCCCCCCCCCCCTCCCCGCCCCCCTCCCCCCTCCCCCCTTCCCTCCCGCCCCTCCTCCGCTCGCTGACAGGTGCGAGCTTTCTGGAGTTTTCGACGACACGGGACTGCAATGTAGCATCTTTATGTGCGTCTCAGGCTTGTTAACGTGGTTGAAAAGGCTCTGATGCTTCCCTAATCCAAGACGCCCACGAAATCCACAGCCTCAACGGCCCATACTTAAGGCATCCCGCCGCTTGCGAGAGTCTTGGTATCCAGTGTTTCGGAATGGCGACACCAAAATTCGTACTGATACTACCACTACTAATACTACTCACAATCATCCTGCTTCGTGTTGCTATGAACATTACATTTACTATAAGTGCGATTCCAACTGTTTCTTTTTTCCTACAAGAGCTTGCTGCAGATAGTAGCCACTCGCCGCATGCGCGTACAGCCGGGCCGAGGCGGACGACGCGCAGCGTTTCAAATTATATGCCCCATCCCAGAAAGCTTAACATCACTGTTGCACAGCACGGACGGACTTGCCCCACCGGCAGTTTGCTGTCCCCGTCTCTCTGCCGCTTGTTGTGCCACAGTTTGTGGACTGGTGCGGAATGCTTGGCGTTGCATGCGGTGCATCAAAACTTCAAGTTCTGCTTTTTCGACATCCCTGATCCATCGGCACGCAGGCCGCAGTTGGTTCCAGACTCGTGAAGTTCATGTGGGAATGTCGAGCTATCCAATCCAGGCAGGCCTATGGCTCCGCGAAGTTCCGGCGAAGTGCCTCAACGTTTTGACTTGTTGCGTTGCTTGCCAAATCCATGCCGTGTGGGGAAGGATGAAAACAAAGAGGCCTCACACAAATCATTGTGATCACCTGAGTGAAGGATGAAAACAAAGTAGGGATTAATCGTTAATCATTCATCACCCTATATCATCCGACACCGACGACAAAACCATGAAGCAGGAGTTATCCTTACACAACGAATCTTGTAACCCGTGCGAGTCGTTCAATCTCCGAAGGTAAGATGCTGGCAAAAGCTGCGGCCACCCAAAAAAACACACGGCATGCAAAAAAAACCTATAAGAGCACGTACGCTGACATACCATCTGAAGATTTTTGAAACTCTTTTGAACTCTAAAACAATAAAGCTAAGGTTTTGACGAATCTTCCCAGCCCCAACTCAACAAACACCAGTGTGTCGCATGCACACACGCACACACTCTTGAAATTCGAGTCTCCAAGAGCTTCACTAAAACTGAAAAACCCCGACCCTCAGTCATTTTGCACGAATCACAGGCCTGTCAGTTTTCGTTTCGGGGCTCACGCGCACTGGGGTAGTTTGAAATGTTTGAATTATTTTTTGCATATTGAAGGTGTTGTAAGCAATCTCGACGACCTTGGTTGTCGTCGCGTCGTGGCGTCGTCATGGGCTGTGATCCTAGCCATTGTGAGTTCACGTCATCGTTCTGCTGGTCGAGCTGCAAAGGTGCTGCTGCTGCTGCTGGGCAGTTTCTTAGGCGAGTCATTCCCGGAGTCGTTGGTCCGCTGTTTTTCGCCGGTTGCAGTCGTAGGCGGCGTCGTTCTCAGCGTGCCCGGTCGCGTTTGCTGGTCTTCAGTTGTAGTCGGAGGCGACGTCGTATTCGATGTCCCCGTTCGCGTCCTCGATGGGGTGGTAGCAGATCGTGCTCGCTTCGTTTTGGATGTCCCCGTGCTTGTCCGGCGATGGGGCAGTCGCAGATCTTGATGATGAAGTGGAACTTCTCTCGGTTTCTTCAGTGCCGGTGTGTGCTTGCTGCTTCGGCTGTGGGTGTGGGTCTCCTTGGCTGTGGGTGTGGGTCTCCTTGGCCTCGTTCAGGTACTTCCGGACCTTGTGGTTTGCTTCATTGCCAGGGCTTCTCCTCCATTGATGGCTCCGTGTCCATGAAACACACACCGTGAGTCAGCTTTGTTGTGGCCTCCATGGTAAGAGGACCCCCTCAAACCTCGGATGCGGGTCTCAGTCTGTGTTGCCCCATCCGGTTCTATGAAGTCCCCGAACTCGTTGAGAGGGGCCTGGAAGTTGGTACATACCCGCCCCGGGCACTTGATCTGGAGCGGCGTCGGACGGCTGGCCTCAAGCCTTCCCCTCTCAGGCACTCGTCCACCCCCGTAAAAAGGCTCCTTCCGCCCACAAAGGCCCGGTGCGGGTGCACAGCGGACGACTTGAGCCAAAATGGCACTCTCTCTCTCTCTGCATCTCCCCCTCTCCCGCCCCCCTCCCGGGCATGGGTGCCGGTCAAAGCCCTCCGGGCATTATGCCCACCCCACCTGATGTTTTATCGGGGCGAGGGGAGTGAAGATCGAGTGTAGGTCATCTATCGGCAAACGCCATGAAGTGGACGATGACGAGCTCAACATGACCGCGCACTCTCAAACGCCACATGCTGATTACCAGTACGTAATCCCCCGCTTCTAGAGGACAAGTGCAGGGCCTAGTGTCAAAAGCTACCCCCACAGAATGTCTATCAACTCGGGGATATACTGATTTCCCGAAAGCTCGCGAAGGATCTTCCGTGCGAAGCCCTCGAGAGAAGTACATAGAGTGAAGTGCATAGTGCATAGAGTGAAGTGCATAGTACATAGAGTGAAGTACATAGAGGGATGTGCATCGAGTGAAGTGCATAGTGCATAGAGTGAACTACATCGAGTCAAGTGCATGGTACATAGATGACTCCATGACTCTATCTCACTTTGACTCTCTCACTCTATGATTCTATGACACTACGACTCTATGACACTCTGACTCTGTGACTCTATGACTCTGTGCTTTTGACTCTATCCGACTTATCTACATCTCGGTACATAATCTCTCTTTCTAAAGCCAGGGTGGCACCGTCCCCATCGATCGGGAATGCAACCCTTCACAGGGATCGGGCCGGTCGAGTGCCCAAACGTGTGGGAAAGTCACAACTCTTGGGCGCCACGCGCAACCCTTCACAGGGATTGGCGGGGTCGAGTGCCCAAACGTGTGGGAAAGCTACAACCCTTAGGCCGCCACGCGCAACCCTTCACAGGGATTGGCGTGGTCGAGTACCCAAACGTGTGGGAAAGTTGCTACTTTTCGGCGCTCTTAGGCGCGATTCGCAACCTTTCACAGGGATTGGCGTGGTCGAGTGCCCAAACGTGTGGGAAACTTGCACTTCTTGCAGTGCCCGTGCAATCCTTCACAGGGATTGGCGCGGTCGAATGTTGAAACGTGTGGGAAAGTTACTATTTTAGGCGCCTTAGGCGCCATTCGCAACCCTTCACAGGGATTGGCGTGGTAGAGTGCCCAAACGTGTGGTAAAGTTTCTACTTTTCGGCGCTCTTAGGCGCCATTCGCAACCTTTCCCAGGGATTCGTGTGGTCGAGTGCACGTGTGGGAAACTTACTATTTTTGCGGTGCTTTGCGGTGGTCGGGAGAGAAGTACATAGAGTCAAGTGCATAGTACAGAGAGTCAAGTGCATAGTACATAGAGTGAAGTGCATCGAGTTACGTGCATAGTACATGGAGTGAAGTACATAGAGTCAAGTGCATAGTCCACAGAGTGAAGATGTGCTTGACTCTAGGACTCTATGTACCTGTGTACCTGACTTATGTACTTGACTTTATGCACTGGACTGGACTAGACTAATATGACTCTATGTACATGTATACTTGACTCTATGCCTCTTTAGGGTTTAGGGTTTAGGGCTGAGGGTCTAAGGCATAGGGTTTACGGTTTCTTGCTTAAGGGTATAAGGCTTAAGGTTGTGCATCGAGTTACGTGCATAGTGCATAGAGTGAAGTACATAGAGTCAAGTGCATAGTACATAGAGTGAAGTGCATCGAGTTACGTGCATAGTACACAGAGTGAATGAAGTACATCGAGTTACGTGCAGAGTACATAGAATGAAGTACATAAAGTCAAGTGCAGAGTCCACAGAGTGAAGATGTGCTTGACTCTATGACTCTATGTACCTGTGTACCTGACTTATGTACTTGACTTTATGCACTGGACTGGACTAGACTAATATGACTCTATGTACATGTATACTTGGCTCTATGACTCTTTTTTTGAACGCCATTTTCCCGCTCGCAATTAAGGTCACGCGAATCCACCACTCTATGACTCTTTAGGGTTTAGGGCTTAAGGCTGAGGGTTTAAGGCATAGGGTTTCGGGTTTATTGCTTAAGGGTATAGGGTTTAAGGTTGTACATCGAGTTACGTGCATAGTACATAGAGAGAAGTACATAGAGTCAAGTGCATAGTACATAGAGTGAAGTGCATCGAGTTACATGCATAGTACATGGAGTGAAGTACATAGAGTCAAGTGCATAGTCCACAGAGTGAAGATGTGCTTGACTCTAGGACTCTATGTACCTGTGTACCTGACTTATGTACTTGACCTTGTGCACTGGACCGGACTAGACTAATATGACTCTATGTACATGTATACTTGACTCTATGCCTCTTTAGGGTTTAGGGTTTAGGGCTGAGGGTCTAAGGCATAGGGTTTACGGTTTATTGCTTAAGGGTATAAGGCTTAAGGTTGTGCATCGAGTTACGTGCATAGTGCATAGAGTGAAGTACATAGAGTCAAGTGCATAGTACATAGAGTGAAGTGCATCGAGTTACGTGCATAGTACACAGAGTGAATGAGTACATCGAGTTACGTGCATAGTACATAGAATGAAGTACATAAAGTCAAGTGCAGAGTCCACAGAGTGAAGATGTGCTTGACTCTATGACTCTATGTACCTGTGTACCTGACTTATGTACTTGACTTTATGCACTGGACTGGACTAGACTAATATGACTCTATGTACATGTATACTTGGCTCTATGACTCTTTTTTTTGAACGCCATTTTCCCGCTCGCAATTAAGGTCACGCGAATCCACCACTCTATGACTCTTTAGGGTTTAGGGCTTAAGGCTGAGGGTTTAAGGCATAGGGTTTCGGGTTTATTGCTTAAGGGTATAGGGTTTAAGGTTGTACATCGAGTTACGTGCATAGTACATAGAGAGAAGTACATAGAGTCAAGTGCATAGTACATAGAGTGAAGTGCATCGAGTTACATGCATAGTACATGGAGTGAAGTACATAGAGTCAAGTGCATAGTCCACAGAGTGAAGATGTGCTTGACTCTAGGACTCTATGTACCTGTGTACCTGACTTATGTACTTGACTTTGTGCACTGGACCGGACTAGACTAATATGACTCTATGTACATGTATACTTGACTCTATGCCTCTTTAGGGTTTAGGGTTTAGGGCTGAGGGTCTAAGGCATAGGGTTTACGGTTTATTGCTTAAGGGTATAAGGCTTAAGGTTGTGCATCGAGTTACGTGCATAGTACATGGAGTGAAGTACATAGAGTCAAGTGCATAGTACATAGAGTGAAGTGCATCGAGTTACGTGCATAGTACACAGAGTGAATGAAGTACATCGAGTTACGTGCATAGTACATAGAATGAAGTACATAAAGTCAAGTGCAGAGTCCACAGAGTGAAGATGTGCTTGACTGTATGACTCTATGTACCTGTGTACCTGACTTATGTACTTGACTTTATGCACTGGACTGGACTAGACTAATATGACTCTATGTACATGTATACTTGACTCTGTGACTCTTTTTTTTTGAACGCCTTTTTCCCGTTCGTAATTAAGGTCAGGCGAATCCACCACTCTATGACTCTTTAGGGTTTAGGGCTTAAGGCTGAGGGTTTAAGGCATAGGGTTTAGGGTTTATTGCTTAAGGGTATAGGGTTTAAGGTTG